GGCTGACACCGCACAATCCACAAATATGCTGTGTGTTATCAGTACACAAAAGGAAATGAAGTGCTAAGAGCATTTCTGGCAAATCAATGTATTTTCGTCACTTGCAGGAACTTCTAGAGGGATAAACATGGTGACGAGCATGTATCGCTGAAACCTGCTGCATGTGTTTTTTTTCTCTGACATACACATAGTGGTGTATTAATAACAAAGTGGCATAGCCTATCATTCAGGGAAAGTGGACGGACTTTTGTTCTGTGAACGTTTCCTCTAACAAGTGCTATGAGCAGGGCCGGATCTAGTCTATCTGATCTGGGGGTGCAGAAGAAAAAGTCAGGGGGCATACTGTCAGTAGTGTGATAGGGATGCATGGAACCAATATTCCCTGTTCACTTGGCACTTCTGTACCACGGAGTGATAACCCGGATGTATCATCTGACAGGTAGTGCAGAGGTGGTGCAGGAGTGAACTGGAAATGCTCTCATTAGTTTAGGGTGATTAAACAGAAGCTGTGCCCCCTTATATCAGGTGTCCTTAACAGAGTTCCTCCCTATATCAGGAGTTCTTCTCAGAATTCCTCCTTACATCAAAGCTCCTATAAGACTCCATCCTTACATAAGGTGTCCTCACCGGAGTGCCTCTTACATAAAAATGTCCACATCAGAGTGCCCCCTTACATCAATTGCCTCATCAGAGTGCCCCCTTACATCAATTGCCTCATCAAAGTGCCCCTTACATCACTTGCCTCATCAGAGTGCCCCCTTACATCAATTGCCTCATCAAAGTGCCCCTTTACATCAACTGTCCCCATCGGGTTTCATGGATTTGTGGATGCACTCTCAGAGGTCTGGGGGTGGGCACAACTAAAATCTGGGGGGGGGCATAGCCCTCCCCAGCACCCCCCTAGATCCGGGCCTGGCTATGAGGCTTTTTCCTGTGCTGATCAATGGTTTTCATTGATTTAAAACAGAAAATGCTGTATTTAGCCACTAGATGGGGTTAAGTATTTTCTATGATAACTATTGCCATCTAGTGGCCAAATGCAGTATTTCCCATTTTAAATTGGAACTTAAAGCGGAAGTAAAATATATATATTTTTTTTTTAAATGTTCCACTGCAGGTTTAAGTCATAATGTGATAGTATTTACAGTCTTATCTATCAACAGAGTGCTGACCCTCACAGCTCCCCCTGGTACCCAGCACTCCTTCCGAGCACCATCCTTACCTGGTCTTCCTTCTGGGTTCTGTATCTTTAGCTGCTTGAATTGTCGGCCATGGTGACATCACTCCCCCGCCTGTGCATGGGAGTCACATCGGCACGGCACACAGTGAGGGTCATAAATGTCATCTGAGCTGTGCATGCGTGGCTCAGATCACATTACTGCTGGCTGGCAGGGGGGGATATTTAAGCTTCCTGGGATGTATGACATCATTTTGGCCAGAAACCAGGAGGCGAAGGAAGAAATTAAAAAAGAGTTTTAAAATAAGTAAATATAATATACCTTCCTGTTTACTAATGCTAGCTAGCAGCACAAGGATTAAACCAGTTCATGTTGATGAAGAGCATTTAATCCCACTGTAATTCATGTCAAAATTCAAACAGCACAGGAAATTCCTTAATAACATTAGTTTTATTTTTTGCCCCAGTTGCACAGAACAAAAGCAAATGCAGTTTTACTGAAAACATGGCTATGCAAATATTTTGTAAATTCACCCCATAAAGTGGAACGTCACTCAAAGGGGGGAGTTCTGATTTTCCACCCCCCCTTTGTCTGCAGCCCTCTGGGACATGAAGCTGTGGGTCCATTCACAACATGAAGCATGACTTGCACATGCACAGTGGGAAGCCAGATGTGAAGCCGCAGGGAGTTACAACCAGCTTCACACTCTAGACAAGGCAGAGCCAGGGACCCAGAGCAGGAGAAGAACCAGCCTGGGTGAGGACAGTGCTGGGTCCCTGGACAGGTAATTGTCCTTTTATTAAAAGTCAGCAGCTACAGTAACTGTAGATGCTGAATCTTAATTTTTGGGGAGAAGACTGAAGATCCTCTTTAACCATTTGCCAAGTGCACTATAGTCGGCTACAGCACGGTTGTCCAGTTCTGGGAGGGCGTCATATGACATCCTCCCAGAACGCGCCCTCCCACGTGCTCCCAGCTGCGCTCACCTGGTGCTCTACGTGACCTACGGACACATCTGATCACGTGATGAGGTAAAAGGCCAATCACAGCAGCCGTTTAGCACGTGATCAGCTGTGTCCTATGACACAGCAGATCATAGAGTAAATACAGTTGCCGGTTGTCAGCAGCACTTTCCTCACTCTGTCACAGTATGAGGTTAGTACTACCGATAACTGGCAAATGACACAGAGGATATTTGCACCAATCATCAGGGCACTGATGATAAATGCCCTGATGATTAGTGCCCAGAAGTGCCGTCCAGCAGTGCCTCCCACCCGTGACCATCAGTGTCACCCATCAGTGCTCATTAGTGCCATCCATCAGTGCTGCCCAGCAATGTCTCCCAGCAGTTGTGGCCATCAGTCAGTGTCGTCAACCAGTGTTGCCCATCAGCGCAGCCTATCAGTGCCCATCAGTGCAGCCTACCAGTGCCCATCAGTGCAGCCTACCAGTGCCCATCATTGCTGCATATCAGTGCAGCATCATCAGTGCCTCCTCATCAATGCCTACCAGTGCCGCCTAATCAGTGCCACCTCATCAGTGCTGCCTATCCGTGCCACCTCATCAGTGCCCATCAGTGCTGCCTATCAGTGCAGCCTCATCAATGCACATCAGTGAAGGAGAAAAATTACCTGTTTGCAAAATTTTATAATAGAAACACATTTTTTGCTTTTTTTTTGTTTGTGCAAAAAATAAAATCCAGCGGCAAGTAAATACCACCAAAAAAAAGCTCTATTTGTGTGAAACAATTATACAACTTTCATATGGGTACAATGTTGCATGACTGCACAGTTGTCATTCAAAGGGCAACAGCGCTGAAAGCTGAAAATTGGCCTGGGTGCGAAGGGGGTAAAAGTTCCTAGTAGGCAAGTGGTTAAAGCTGGAGAGTTGAGATATCCCTTTAGGGTTAGTTTACACCAGAATGCAGTGCACGTTTCCCACACTGCACTGGAACGCACTGCTTTCACGATCTGCTGGGGATGTCAGTGCATTGTTAATGGCACCCCAAATACAAATTGCAAACACAGTGCATTTGCGTTCCTCTGCTATCCCGGTGTGAACTGGTTTCCAAGACCGGAAAGTTTTTTCAAGAGTTCCTCTGTGTTGAAAAGGTTGAGAAAGGCTGGTTTACGGTTCTAAGTGCTCAAGGTGTTTTTACTTTATTTATTTATTTATTTATGTGTTTTGGTTCAACTCAATGGACATGCATTTTTTTCCTATGTAATTATATTTACCCACATCATTCACATAGTATAACTCTTGGCATTCTGTTTCCAGGAAAACAAATGCTCCCTGTGTAAGTAGCTAAAGCTGTGTCCATAGTGGATAAACTAGATAAAAGTCCAACAAATTTCCACTTGTGCAAAGACACTGCTTTGTGGAAGGAAATAGCTGCTTGTTCTGCAATCCTGAACATCACATCTTACAAAGTGAAAATTAGTTGCCTTAAAAGTTTTTAAAGTAGCATCATTGTTGAAATGCAGTAGCACCTTCTTCAAGTGCCTCCAATAGTCATCATATTGATCCATTAGTCCTTGAGGACCCCATTGTATCTTAGGCCAAGACTGTACAGGGGGTCTCAACTGTTCTGTCCAAGTCCATGTCCAAATCCCTCCTGCCCAATGAAACTCTCTCATTTGTCAACTGAATTATGGAAATAGGGAGCATGCTTGTGTGTGTAGGGTGGTGGTGGTGGCTAGTATCTTCTAGGAGAGAAGTCAACATCATGTGGCCTTGGTTCCATGTTGGTCAACAAGAATCGATTTAAAGACCAGGACAGGCATTATTATTATTAGGCACCACTGCACACCTTAGCTTTAACGCCAGTTCAGGTTCAAGTCCCATACTTTTCATTAGCAAGCTCATTTTACCTGTTCTCAGATGATGTGTCATGATTGACGCTGAATCCCCAATACTAGAGGTGTTCAAACCTAACACTACATTGCACAACACACTGTGTCACTAAATGTCCCATATGTATACATTCAGTGACAGAGACACAGCATGCAAACGCAGAGAGGGGAAGGAGATCACCTACCACAAGGTAAACCTTCTCTGTTGGTCAATACAAAAACCTATATGATCATTTCAGTTTACAGTTAGCTTTTTTTTTTTTTTGAGATGATGGAGGGCAAAAATTAGGACAGAAAAATAAAAGTGGAAAATAAGAACAGGGAGGCCAAGAAGATCTAAAGCACATATGTCAAACACAAGGCCTGAGGGCCATATCTAGCCTGCCAGGCCTTGTCATGTGTCCCTCACACCCAGTTTTGCAGCCACAACATGGTGGAACACCATTCTGCCACCTCCGGCTACCACCCTGTGCTCCAGCTCCATGCTGTCACATGTAAACACAGAAGCCCTCTGTGTTTACAAGGGTCAGTTTTGCTCTTGGTGAAACCCGGATCTAACAGATCTCTGCATGCATTCACGGTGGGGCATAGTAAGAACAGATCTCTAAAATCCAAGCGAGAGAATCATCTCCCTGCAAGGCGAGGCAGAGCCGCCTACAAAAGGAGGTACTAGAGCCAAATATATGGGTAGTAGAGCCGCCTGCACAAGGGGGTATTAGAACTGAGCCAGGTAGCGGAGACAGATGCAAAGAAGCTTTGGGGGGTTGGGGTTTCACAATGCTGAACTCTGCACTCTGTAAGTAACACATTCCTCAACCCTGCACTCTATATGTAGCTCATCCTCAAACTCTGTACATAATGCACTCCTCAACTCTGCATTCTGTACGTAGATCAGCCCTAAACCCTGCACTCTGTACATAGTGCACCCCTGAACCATGCACTCTGTACATAGTGCACCCATGAACCATGCACTCTGTGTATAGGGCACCCCTGAACCATACACTCTGTACATAGTGCACCCCCTGAACCATGCACTCTGTGTATAGGGCACCCCTGAACCATACACTCTGTACACAGTGCACCCCTGAACCCTACACTCTGTGCATAATGTACCTCTCAACTCTGCATTCTGTATGTAGATCAGCCCTAAACGATGCACTCTGTACATAGTGCACCCCTGAGCCCTGCACTCTGTGCATAGGGCACCCCTGAACCCTGCACTCTGTACACAGTGCACCTGTGAACCCTGCATTCTGTACACAGGGCACCCCTGAACCCTGCACTCTGTACACAGTGCACCTCTGAACCCTGCACTCTGTACACAGTGCACCCCTGAGCCCTGCACTCTGTACACAGGGCACCCCTGAACCCTGCACTCTGTACACAGGGCACCCCTGAACCCTGCACTCTGTACACAGTGCACCCCTGAACCCTGCACTCTGTACACAGGGCACCCATGAACCCTGCACTCTGTACACAGGGCACCCCTGAACCCTGCACTCTGTATACAGTGCACCCCTGAACCCTGCACTCTGTACACAGTGCACCCCTGAACCCTGCACTCTGTACATAATGCACTCTTGAACTCTGCACTCTGTACATAGTGCACCCCAGATACAACTGGCCCTTTGAGGACAATCATACCGCCAATGCGGACCACGATTTAATTGAGTTTGACACCCCTGATCTAAAGTGTGATTAGGGTGTATCTATCACTAAAACCTCATAGGTGGAATGACATTTTAGGGCTTCATGCATGAACTTAAAGAATACCGCTGTTACAGGCACTGAGCATTTTTTTTTTTTTTTTAAGCCTGCAAAAGCACTTCTATGTAAGCCTATGTGCACATATAGCTGTTTACATGCATATTAACACAGGAGTGTTTACAGGCACTGCATGCAGATCAGTGAAAAAAAAAAAATATGTGTTGCTGGATAGTATTTTATGTTCATACACACCTATAGACACATATACAGTACATGCGAATACACGCATATGCATATGTGACACATTCCCAAGAAAAATTAGCAGAATTTTTATGCCTGTTTACTTGTATGCACAAAAATGCACAAATACCGCATTTACTATACAGCCCATTTTCATGTTTTTATGCAGGAATTTTCGGCAAGGAATCTGATTTCATACATCAGTACTGTGTGCAAGTCCCCTAAGTCATTGACTTGCAACAAGTAGACAGATCAGGACTTCTAAATATCCCAATCTGCAGCCTTGTTCCAGGTCATTATCTCAAAACGTATTGAAGGCAGACACAGCCCGTCAGCTATTATTTTCAGAGTGAGGTCAGCTATGACAGCCCTTGAATTTCTTGCAGTGCCTGCTTCTTTGAAAGAATAGAATATCTGTCCATAACATCTCACCGATCACCAATATTTACTATCCTGCCTATCTGTCAGGAAAGGCTTGTCCATAGTGCAAGTGAGGGTTCGCAGCTCATAAATATGTGCATGCGCAGAACAAAAACGGGCCGCACAGATGTGCATAGATATGGGCAAAAGCGCTCACGAATGCACACTCGCACATTCAGGCGCACGTCTGTCACGAATGCTGGTGCTAAAAGGGCTATTTAAATTGGCTGCAGTCTTGTCTCATTGCTGTTTGGTCTTCATCTTCTGAGTGTGTTCTTGATCCTTGTGCCCAACCTCTGTTATTACCCGGATTGTTCCTGATCTTCACTTGTCTGCTACCTGCCCTGACCCTGGATTGTCTTGACTACTCTTCTGCCTCCTGATCTTGTCCGATTGTACCTCTGCTGCTGACTTGTCCTGTGACCTGACTTCTCTGCCGCCTTCTCTGCTGCCTGCTGTCTATGCTTGATCTGCCCGATTGTTACCGACCCGGCTCGCCTGACTTCGCATCTGCCAACCTGCTGGCTACAGTTCATCAGTCTGGCAAGTCCGCATCTGGATTCTGCTTCCTGCTGTTACCTATGACCTGCCGTCAAGCAAGACCTGTGCCTAGCTGTCCACCTTCAACCTGTCCTGCTTCCTCATCTGTCTGTGGACTTCCATTCACGCACCTACTACTGAACTGATCACAGGCACTCATACCTCACCGTGCTCCTGTGCCTACTGTCCCACCACCAGTGGCCCTCGAGCCGGAGCTGTACTGGAGGCCTGCCTCTTCAAGTCAGGCTCACTAGCTAAGGTACGTGACAATATCATACAAAGTAGTCAGGATCTCAGATCCACATTTTTTTTTTAACAGTGGACTATTTCTTCCAGAGCCAATTCGCACACATACATTCATAATGTGTTAGCAATAGCCATTAATCTTTGAAAGAGCCTCTGGAATATTAACATTTCCTGTAAGAGACTTTCCAACAGCCTTCCCTGCTGTGGACAGCGCATGACATTAGGCAAGTGGAGGGGTTAGACCTATCAGAGCAGTGTGATTATCCAGGTTTTACATTCACATCACTGTTAATAAATATATAATAGAACCTCAACATTACATTGGCTCAACATGGAATTTTCACAGCAGGATGTGTTCTATTGTCTGGATCAGTAAACAGAGAGAAATTCACCTGTTTTGTGCCCAGCTAATGAGCATGGCGCACAATTATAACACGCGGCCTTGCATAATTGTGAGTGACGTGCACATGTCCATCCATCACTGTGACACCCTTTGCCGCTTTGAATCTGCTCTTCTTCCTCCCCGTGATAAATGCTTGCCTCCTAATGAGCGCTGCTGATGAATTCAGTGCTGCAGCCCGAGGAAGATTTAACTTCTAATGAGATAACGAGTTTGGAATCGCAATGGGTCCCTTCATAATATTCCTCCTCCTTCGCACTGCACCTCATCCATCACTGAGAACACACACCATTATAACCCAGGGAGAGAAGTCTTAGCTTCAAGGAAGCGGTTTTCTGAATTTCTCATGTTTCCAAAACCACTTGGCATAAAAGTCCACCTTCTGCACTATAATATAACCAAGCATGAAATAAGCTCATTCTTTAGAATATCAAGCCTACTTAGGCCAAGGAATGTCATTTTAGAACTAATCTGCTTATAACTGTCCTGTTTATGACCCACTTCCATGATTAAAGACCAACAAAAATCCTTTTGCATATCAAATTGGTGGGGTGGAAGACATACAGGCACCACATGAGTAAATGTATGTAATTTGTATGTAATTAATTCTATTATTTCCTGTACTTCATGGACATTTGATTCTTGAACTTCAGTAATGTTGCATCTGATCATCAGTATGAATTATCAAATGTACAAAAAATGGATGCTGGGTAGCCCCATATATGTGTAACTTAACTTTTTCATAAAAAACTAAATACATTTTGTACATTTATAGCACTACATAAGTATGCTACCACATGGATGGTGGTGGTTCGGTGACACCAAAATTCACATATTTACTGTAAGGATTCAAACAATTTATTGCCATTACACAATCACAGATCCTACAATGAAATTCATGTATAGCTCTACACAGTACTGTATATACAGTGAAGGAAATAAGTATTTGATCCCCTGCTGATTTTGAATGTTTTCCCACTCACAAAGAAATGATCAGTCTAAAAATCGAATCATAGGTGTATTGTAACACAGAGACAGAATAGCAACAAAAAATTCAAAAGAAATGCATGTCTAACAAATGATGCACTGATTTGCATGTAAATGAGGGAAATAAGTGTTTGATCTCCTATCATTCAGCAGGATTTCTAGTTACCAGGTGTCTTTCATACAGGTATCAAGCTGAGATTGCTCCTGTGGACAGGTGTCTTTTATACAGGTAACAAAATGAGATTAGCAGCACTCCCATTAAGAGACTGCTTCTAATCTCAGCTTGTTACCTGTATGAAAGACACCTGTTAGCCAGAAATCCTGCTTCAAAAAGCTTTGGCACTTATTTTAACTCTAATATATATATATATACACACATGTATATGTGCGGAAACTTTTTGAAGACCCCTCATATTTGTATGAGCCCAATGCTCCTATAAATCTTTTCCAATGGTAGCATTTCAAAATACTCAAAACTCAGACGGGTTATATCCTCTAAAATGTTGCATGCCCCACAAATGCATCTGTACTCTCTGATGAGCTTAATACCTGGCGCCTTGGCACCCTCCCAAGAAAAAAAAAAAACCTCTCTAGCGATATACACCAAACTGAGCATGTGCATGTGACCACGGATTCAGTCTGTATCAGGTGGTGATTTAAACAAGAGGAGGGGCAGAGAAGACAAGAGCAAAACATCCTTTTTTACACAGGATGAGGACTAACCCCTTAGGTTCCACAGTGAGTATACTAAGCATGCTTTACTGCATATACAGACTGATGTTACTGTTGTGGGTTTAGTAGCACTTTAAGGCTGAGCACATTGTTCCTAAAAACAATCAGAACAGATAGTTTTAACCTCTCTCAGATCCCCTTCATTAGAGTTCTAGGCCATTATTGTGGGGGGGGGGGGTTATGTTGCATTCTATATAACCATGCTACTTAGTCTACTCTTCCTACGTTTTCCACTTTTATGAATGTAAAAACACCAGAAACCTCTAAACATACAATGGAGTAGAGTGACAGGTGGTTCTTGGGCCAGTTGAGGCAATCTCCACTGGATGATGGTCTTGTCAAAGCATATGCAATTGTCTGTCAAGCCTAATGACCCATTGATGACCCAAAAACATGGTTACAAATGCTGGCAAAATGTATGAAGCACAATGAAAAGAAGGTTCAGGGGACAAGGTTGCAACTTCCTGCTACACAGCAGTAATTTAAAGATTACCGTGAGGCACAGCCCACATATAAACCAGCATTGCCATCTGTTTATAGCAGCCGAAGGCATACAAAAGCTCTGTAAAGGTTTCCGTAAAGACTTCAGTAAATTCGTAGTGCACACTGAGACAAAGGCACTGCCAAGGGAACATCAACAGAGGTAAAAAGACCAAGTGCTATTCACATAAAGCTGGCATCAATGAGACCTAAAGGCACTGTCAGCACTTCTCCTGTTTAGATGCACTAAATGTATGGAACTTCTCATGACTCCTGACTGTTCATTGAACATCCATATGTGCAAACCCAACAAGCCTGTGCTGTTTGATTGCTATCAATAATGAGGAACTGAATTCTGGATGTTGTGCCCAAAAAGGAAGGCAGATGGAAAATGACTAGTCATCAGTATTGTCTGTGGTCTCCCTACAGCTAATCTTTTCCCATCACTGATTTACCAACCCTTGTTCTGCCCTGTGACTCTGTATGGAGGTGGCCACCTTGATAGAGGTAGAACCCTCATGTCAAAACCGCCAGCAATTAGAAGCAAGGCTATAACTCGCACCAAGTGGGCTATTTCAAGCTCTGCACATGACCTTTGCTGAATGGTCTTTCTGTTTTTGCTCCTGTGTTCCTGAACATGAAACTTATACTGGCCTTGGCCTCAGGCTAGCACATGATCTGCTTTTGGAT